AAAAAAAAAAAAAAAAAAAAAAAAAAAAAAAAAAAAAAAAGGAAAGTACATACATGAGGGAAAAATGGGATGAACAACAATTATCTGAAACCAGGTTTCTACCACTTTTACCTACAGTCACCAACTGCGTTCGATTCCGCAGGGCTCTTGCCAGCCGCCGCGCGCTCGCTTACAGTATGAACAGGGTCGTGGGTCGAGGAAACATTCTCAAAGTTGAGGCCCAAATGGAAATAGTAACGTATCATACACAGTGTAAGTTTATAGTACACAGCTTTTTTTTTTTTAAATGACGTAACGCAACAGCAGGAAGGAGTAGTAGTAGTTAACAGTTACTAACACTAGAATAATCAAATTTGTATGTTATACATATACAGCAACTAACTGCTTTACAAAAAAAGCAAAATAATACAATATATTGTCACATGTATTTACAGTGTAGTAAATATACTTTTCTGTCAAATTTTACACAAAAACTATTTACAGGTGAATATACTGCATTAAAAAAAAATTGTGGGACCAACACTAAAAGTGACTTTCTGTGGTAAGTTTGTCGCATAACAGTAAGACGTGCTTCATTACATCTGAAAAAAATTAACTTCAGAATGAAACAGAAAAAAGCCCTAAAACCTACAACCCGGTTAGGAATAGAGCCCTGGAACGCTCCCAGGTGCTCAGCCCACAATACGTATTTGAAATGTTTCCTGTCCTTGGAAACCTCATGCACATTAAAGCAGAAACATCGGCATCATTAACTATTCGCAAATACTACGGAATTATCTTTAAGTCAGGGAAAATACAAACACAAACAAAATGTTAATCATCTTTACAGTACTGAACTGGAGTTAGTGCGTAACGGGTAACGTGTTCTAAAACAGGGGTGTCAAACCTACAGTCCCCAGGATGTACGGTACGTGGTCCATGTGTTCAGACCGGGGTTTTCTGACTCTAAGTTGTCGTTTTGAAGTAGCCCGGCCGCGGGGCCGGGGACCCGAGCGGCCCCCGCAGCAGCGCCCACCCCGCAGCCCCGGGAGCCCTCGCCCGCTCCTCAGAGGTTTCCAGCCCCCACGGACACCAGCAGCTCCCTGCTGCGCTACGAGCACGAGGGGGAACGGGCACAGGTGGGAGCAGAGAACAGAGAGAGGGCGCGAGAAGCAGAACAAACAGGCAGAGCACCGGCACTGGCTGTCAGAGGGAGCGGGGAGCGATGGGTGCGACAGTAAGGCACTGAACAACCGATTACTACTGGAAGGTTAATCACCGAAAGGCCGCGTTCCCCGTTCCAAGCACAGGCGGCCCAACCACGGGCACGGGGGGTATCGCTCCTGCAGCTGGGGCCACTGAGCTGGAATTAAACCCTGGCCCAAACTGGGCCCCTGCTGCCTATAGCGTGTTTGACACCCCTGCCCGAAGAAATTCTGGTCCTCTCACTGAACCACGAGTGAAAACACCAAACGGGTCCCGGACCCTCCTTCCAGGAGAGAGAGTAACGGAGGTGGCGTTGACCGAATTTATGAGGAGAGCTGGGACTGAGCCTGGAGTAGTTCTAGTTCCCCCATTCAGGTAATTTCAGCCACTGTCCATTTGGATTCCTCGTTCTGGGTATTTAAGGAATGCGTTCACGCTCATCCCAGGACACTTTTATCATACAGGCAACACAAAACAGTGAAAGAGCTGCTCTGAAACGCACCCAGACACACCGACTGGGTAGTTCATCTGGAATTTCTCCTTAAAGCAAAGCTGCTCGGGGGAGAAGCAACTGAAATCTAACAGCAAATCCCCAGAGATTGTTCTTTCCTCCTACCTACAAACAAATCTTCAGGCTTTTACAATTCATTGTCATCAGGGAAAGGGAAAGGGCCGGCAGCGCCTGGCTGGGCCCGACCCCGCGCCGAGGGGCAGAGACTGACACACCTGATGGGTCCTGAGCTCCCGCCCCCCTCAGCCCCCCCCGCCCATCCCGGGAGGAAGGATGGGGCCAACTGCACCGTAACTTCCAACCCCTCCCTTTCAAGAGCGCTCATGCTAAGTTTCCTCTTGTTTTGGCAAACTCTTATTTGCATATTGAGTTTGTGTTCATAGTTTTTCCAGGACTGTAAACAAATTAAAGAAATTAAATTGTTATTTTATGAATCGATACAATAAAGGTATTTTTATTTACATAAATGTTACATTGTTACTGTGTGGATACATGTCAATTATGTGCTATATCAATAAAATCTGAACACTTAATTGTACCATTCTCTAATAATTTAGCTGTGGAGTTTGATTTACTGAAAGCCACTAACAAAATTGCACTAGAGGATTTGTATTTTTTTTTTTTTTTTTTTTTTCCTCTCCTTTAAAGCCACTTACAGATTAACTTCCACCAGACAAGAGGGATGTGGCCCTGGGGAGTGAGTCCTCGGCCCAGCGTAGCAGCAGGTCGCAGCTGATGAGTCTTTCACAGTGAGAGCGAGTTCAGTTGTGTGGGACCCCCGAGCGTGACCCCGCTCAGACCAACCCCCCCCGGCGGTTCTGCAGCTGTCTGGGCCGACACCAGGAATTGCACTGCAAAACTTCAGACGTAACCTGGATTTGACACAGTGTCAGTTATTTTTCAATTCATGTACCTTAAGCAAACGTTGCCGTTCCACATCCCTGCTCGGGCAGCACAGAAGCAGCTTTGCCAGACACAATCTCCCAGCGCTGGAAGTTAATTCATTACATTTTCCCCTCCAGACCCCGCTGGTTATTCTGCCAGGAATTTCTCGAAGGTGCAAACTGTTGGGAAGGGCAAAACTAAAGTCTATGCTAAATGGAAGAAAGAAGCAATAAACTCTCAACACTGCTACAACGACAGCATAATAGTCAGTTCTCAATGATTTTCTTTCCACTATACAACCTTTTTTAGTGCAGTTAACGTACAGAAAAAAAAAAAAAATTGCTTTGGAAAAAAGCCAGTTTGTCCAGTCTGGTCCATATACAATCCATGTACATGAAGCTATGGTCTGGGGAATGAGAGACACTCATGCAGCCTCCTTGTCCTCTCAAATTTATTGCTAATTACTGGAAATTTAATCTAATTGCCCACTTCTGGTTAAGCTCAGTGTACTGCGGCTATCGTAAGTTTCTTTTAAGTATGGTAAAAAAAAGTCCACAGCTAAAAATCTTACAGGTTTGAATTAAAACCCAGGATTATAGTAACTCCCCCCGGCTCATAAAGCCACTACCTTGAAGAGTGTGCAAAGGGGATGGAGGGTTAACACTTCCCTGTAGAGCAGAAAGGAAGGCGGCGGGTGGCAGGAGGGGGCCTGGCGCTGGGCAATGGCTTTCGCGTGCGGACAAGAGGCGGCTCTGCAGAGCTCGGGGAGCCCGCGCCGCCTCGGCTACAAAGTCCCTCAGGATCCGAGTGAGCGGCTCTGAAACACTGGCTTAAATCAAGAGCAGAGGGAAAGAAACGAAGGCATTAAAATTCAGGCAATGGTTCAAGAGTTGATCATCTGGCAACACGGCTGACAGGATGGGAACTTTAAAAATTAAGTGCAGCATCACAACCGGCGGAGGGGCCCTTTGCGAGAGGCCCACGAGTGTCAGTCAGTTTCCAAAAAAAAAAAAGAAAAAAAAAAGAAAAAAATTAAAAAAAAAAGAAATAATCACACAATCTTTTTGATGCTGGGACGTTTGAAACTGCCAGCACTTCGCTGCTTTTGCACTTGGCTTGCGGAGCCGTGGCGCATCCT